GGGGCTGTCGTTTTTGTCATAAATGTGTAATCTGGAATTGAGACATACTAGCATGTAATTGGTACTGTGAGGCATTATGTGATGTTAGTGATAAGTAAGTAGTATTGATTCCTTATTCAGGGTGCATCAGTGTCGGGTTTGCACTGCTCAATTTGGAATTACTTGTGCATAATCCAAAAAATTCTGTTAGGAAACGTTGATAAGATGGTGACTGTAACTGCAACTCTTTCTGAGCAGGAACTAAACAAAGAGTAGGTTGTTTGGGGTGGGAGGTTGTGTGTGTATTGTTGTCTTGGGGGGTGTGTGAATGTTTTCAGTTCTTAAATTGTCTTTTAGAAGTGACTTCTTGGGTCTCAGCTCTAGTTTTGTTATCGGACCTCTCCTGCCGTGAACTTTTAATTTTCTTCTTGTATGCTGCTAAGCCCTTCAAGTAGCGATTCACTGAATAAGGTTGTTTTGGCAAGGGAGAGGAATGCTTTTCACAATAAAATGTGAATTAAAATGTGCGTTAATTTTGCCATAGTTGTGACACAACGGTTGAATTAATAGATTTGTCTTGCAACTTAAAATTTCTTGCTGCTTATAGTCTTGGTCCCTCACCTGTGGTGTATTTGAAACCCCACTGAAAAGATGCAGATATCTAAGCAGAGCTTGGGCTAGAGCCAGGATTCCAACTGATGATCTGTCTCTTCTGATTTCTCACTGGCCTTCCCTCAGAGAGCAAACTGGTTGGTTCTTGTTCATTTTCATCACTCACTGTGATGTGAAAGTGATCTTATTTTTCTGATTAAGCTTTGGACTGGTGCAGGCAAATTGGCACAGATTCTGGAAGAGTTGAGGAATACTTTGTGCTAGTATTTCAGAAGTGAATCTTCATCAGTGTATGTTGTGTATGGCTGAGTAAGTACTTGTTACCTTCAAAAGGACCTTAGATCAGTGTGACCTTAATCATAAGCGCTGGGTCTTACTTGCATCCTCCAGAGTGTTTCCTGCAAAATAAATTGCACCTCTACCTTCTCTTTGCTTATTTACAGTAAACAAAACAGTCAACATTGGATTTCAGTATTTTTGCCCCTACTCACTCCAGCTTCTTGTCTATTTTCTATTTAAAAATAACTGCTGAAACTAAATTCAAACTTTGCAAAGAAAATGTTTCTCACTAATTATTGCATATGAAGGTGACACAGTATTTTTAATTGTGTGGGACAGCCTCAAGTTCCTGTTTCTGGAGACAAGTGAATGGTGATTTCTAACTGATGGGTTAATCGAAAGATGTGATGAGCGTCTGTCAGTCTGTGTATGTCAGGAAAAAGCTAGCTGACTGTGTAGGTATTAAAGATTCCTTAGGGAGAAGCATGCTTGTCTTAGTAAATGTGACTAACATCTTTAGAGTAATTATGTTTTCTAAAATAGAAAATGTTCAATATTTGGAAGATGCACTTTTATGCAGTGTTTTTTTCATAACTCATACAGAATGCTAAACCATACTTTTTTCTTTTAAATAAAACCTTTTTTCCCCCCTCTTGCCACAGGATAATGAGAAAAGGACCCCTTTACATGCTGCTGCCTATCTGGGAGATGCAGAAATTATTGAACTACTTATTTTATCTGGTATGTTCTGTTCCTGTTAATGGAAAAAAAATAACTCTATGCACATCCAAAGAAGTATTTATGTACCTCTTAGTCTGTGTAGCTTTTATTGAGATATTTAATGTACTAGAAATTAAAGATGTTCGTACTGAAATTTTGGGTTCCAGACTTATCAGTGTTGTAATACTGTGTAGTTCTGCTGTAAAATATTTCTTTGTGGAAAGCTTTCTCAGTTACAGCTATTTTTATTTGTAGTTTGATCAGATTTAGGTAATTTAACTCTAATTTAAAGCAGTAATAGTGTATATGTTATAGGTTGATGTTAGCAGCATTGCTTTGGTTCTGAAATGGCCTTCAGAAAAAGAATTAAAGTTAAATATAAAGCATGGCTTCTGAAGTTGGTTATATTATTTTTAAGCGTACTTTGCTGTTGGCTTAAATGCACAGAGTATAATTAGGACCAGCTGAAAATTTTAAAATCTCTTGTCTTGTGCAAGTTCTGTAGAACAGTATACTTCCATCTTAAAAAAACAAAACGAAAAAACACCAAAAAAATCCACACACGCAAAAAAACCCCAACAAAAAACCAAGGTAGAAAACGAAGAAACTAAACTGAATGCCTGAAAGCAGAACTTTGATGGAGATGCTGAATTGATTTTGTTTGATCTTGGACAGATCTACCCATCAGGTAGCTTGAGGCTGAATTCATGATATGGAGCTTTAAGGTTAAATAGAAAGATTAAAAGTTGCAGCAGTCCCATAGAACTACTTTAATGTTCAGTTTGCTTAATGGCACACCTTACCAGTGCAAAGCTGGCTATTTCCACCCAACCTCCACCCTCCCCATCAATTTTTAATAACAAGTTTTGCCTTAACAAAATGTCACTTTTAAGATTATAGGAGTCACTTCCAGACTTTCAATTGAAATTGCCAGACACAATTTAATTTGTTATAATTTAGCAAGTTATAATCTTCTTAATATATGTGTATTATATGTAGTCTCTCTATATAATTATATATATTTATAATTAATTAATATCACATTTTATATATATATATTTCTCATGGAAATACTCTATAGTGATAATTTGTCTAGAAGAGTTCTCCTGTGTGGCAGAGAAGGTGCTGTTTTTCCCTATAAAGATAAATGAAAGTCCTGGTGACTCTTGAAAATATGTAATGACCCCTTTCTTCTGAAAAGGGGTCTTGGATTTGGCAAGGATATTTCTTTTTTGTTTGGTTTTTCACAGTGATTAAAACCAAAAAAAAACCCAAAAAAACTAACCCTGTTAAACTTTGCAAAGTTGTAGTCAGCTGCATCTGGGAGTGAAGTGTCAGAATGTTTTGGGTGAGCAGAGTGCAGTTACCAGAACTGTGATTAAAGAAAATACATCTCTTTCAGGCAAAGGTCTTAGGGAAGGAGCGAGAGTTCAGATATTAACAAAATAAGATCCTGGTTGGGGGTGGCAGTAGGGGAAGAAAGGTTAGTCATGCTATTTGGGCACATAGCCTGGGGATGAGCGTAAGAAAAATTGGAGAACAGAGGAGGGAAGTGAAGAATTAAGAATTAGGGTTGTAAAAGTAGTCCAGAGTTGAGCTGCTGTGTGGAGGAGTGGTTGTGGGGTGCAGTTGTGTCTGCTGATTGTTCAGGAAGACTGGGAGGCATTGATATGTATCAGATAACACTTATTTAATGAAAAAAATCAATATTTACTTACACAAAACAACACATTAAATAGTTGCAAAATTAAAAGCTTTGAAAGCTGTGGAATGTAGGCAGTACCAGTCTAACTTTGCTGTGCTCGTGTGCTGTGCTCTGGACTTCAGTTACATGTTTGTGCCTTGCTGTGGAAGCACAGCCTCATGAATTTCTCAGGGAGGGGCTGTGCTGGGAATGAATCGGGGTGGTACCGTGAAGGAGGCACAGATGCCAGTTGTTGGCGCATTTGTAAGTGAATGAAGAGGGGCATTAATTGGAGGATGAGAAGGTGGTATCTGTGTGTTAAGGCTGTTCAGTTTGAAAGGCTGTGCTGTACTTGGGCACTAATCTGTGTGTTACCTGGTTGCAAGCTGTGGTTTTAGGCAAGCAGCTTAAACCAGACTCTTTAAAAAGTAGTCACCAATTTAGTCTTCCTCATTCTGAATGCTGGATTTGAAATCTTGGTGGGTTGTGAAGTGTGAGCGCTCACAGCTGTATCTGAAGTGCTGCACCAGCTACTTCTCTGAGAAATCAGGTCTAGGTGTCTCAAAATACACAAGCCAAGATTTTTTTCTTTTAAGTCTCTTAATTGGAAGATGGGGAGCAGAGGTTAAGTGTATTTATCCTCTCCATTTCATAAAGAGAGAGAAAATTAATCTGTTGTGTTTCGGCTGGAAATCAAATCTCTCCTTTGAGACAGATGTATACTGTTACATTTTGTCATAGTAGATGAGCATTAGGGAGCAAATACAGAACATCTGTTACCACAGCAAGGTTTGAAGCACACTTGCCATGTTGCAAGACCTCTTTTTGAACAATGAGAAAATAGTTTGTTGAATAAATAACATTTCTGAACAACAGTCTCCTCTGTGCAGTAAATTTGCATGTAAAGTTTTTGTATGTGGCTTTAATTGACCTATTATAATATATTTGCACAAGGGATTGAATTCAGTAGTGTAGATGAATTTCATCCTCTCCTCTCTCACTATACGAGAGCTTTGCTTTGCACCTTGTGATGTCCTCTAATGTAGTTTTGCTGGAATGTTACTAGGAACCGCTTTATGGTTTTCTTGCTGCACAAACTATCCTATGAAGACTGTTTGCTTTGAATTTTTTATTCTTTCTTCAAGCAAGACCTCAAAATTACTGAAGTCAGTATTAATCTTTCTACTCTACTCAGTGGCTCTTACCTGATTCTTTCTTATTTTCGTCATTCTTAGTTGCAGTGTGTATCATATGTTAGCTAGACATAGGTTTGGTTTTTTTAATTTGATTGGAACATCTTTTGCATCCCCCTCCAGGGGATACACATTGCTTTCAAGTGTGTATTTTGGATCATGTGTTGCTGTTACAGTATCTGTATATTACTTTGCTATAGACCTAAGCAACCAATATTGCACATTCTGAAGATACAACTGATTCAGCCTGTGTGCAGACTTTTGTGGAATAAATTTTCAGTCTCACAGGCCTACTTATTTAGTTTTTGAATTCTTGAGGTATTTTCCCAACAAACCTTGAGGTTGCTCTGTGACCTCTCCTATTATAGTCTTTTACCTGGGCAAGGGACCTGAAGGTATGGTTTGGATACAGACTCTGAGTAGCAAAGAAAATTACTTCAGTGACTCCAGTTTAGGGCTAGACATTTAGATTGCCTTTTGTTTTTTCTCTTGAGACAGTGCTTTGCTGAACTTACCAGTCAAGTTGTCCCCTGAAGGTGTGAACGTCTTGCCAGCAAATTCTCATAGAGCTATGGTCTGTGAAAGTCTAAATATTCAAACCATCTCTCCCTGTTAGATTGTAGCTAGATAAGCAATTAGCATTCCTAAATTTGTTAGGTAAGGAGGTGAACAGTAAATAAAAAAGTGGCATAAAGATAGTTGTTTATGGTATACAGAATGATGGAACAGAAGTTTACATTTTAGTCACTCAAGAATCATAATTTTAGAAGCATTTTCTTTTTTGTTTTACTCTGAAGAGTCATAACACCCATCATAGTTGTAATTCTATGATCTACAGACAGATCCTCATCCTGGTGCACAAATACATCTGTTTGCTTTGCATAACTGCACTGACTTTGTGTAAGTATTTGATGGCAAACTACTGAGAAGTAGAAAAGTAAAATAATTAAGGCTGAGTTAACTGTCCAGCTTTTTGTTCCTTCCAAGAAGTCCTCATTAAAAAAAAAAACCCAAACCTTTCTTTCAGTTAAGTCCTACATGTGAACTGTTGTGGGGAGCGTCTTGCTTTATAAAAATCATTCTTTCGGTTTGTCCTACACTTCTTTTAATGCCATCAGAGCCTATTCTGGAGGCAAGTGGGTTGTGAGGAGCAGGACAGATTAGTGTGATCTCAGAATATGTTATTTTGATTAGTATCTTTTTTCACGTGTTTTCTTTAAAGTACCATGCAGACTATTACTGCTTTCACTGAAATCAACACACTTCATGAAAATAAATACCTGATTTATCCATTCTCCTTTGAATAATTTAGTTACTATAATGCATTGATAGTTAAATACTAACAAACACATTTCTGTTTGTTTAACCAACTGCATGGAGCTCAGCATACGTGAGTGTGGTCAAACTCAATCTCATTAAGGTTTGGCAGCCCATGAGTTTTTGTTGTACTTTCCTCTGGGTCAGCTGGAAAATGTGAGAATCATGCCGATTACCATTATCATTACAGTAATAACAGATTTTGGAGGATGGTAAAGACCTTCCAATGACCCTCCACTCCACCTGCATTTCTTTCACCTAATTCTGAAGCTGTGCAATCTTACAATTCCGTGCAATGACAGTCACACAGGTCAGCTCTTGAAAGGCTATCGCTGCAAAAATGCCAGCCGCGTGGAGCTCCCTTTGTTTGGATTGCAGATGTACCCACATGCCAAAGGCACTTCACAGGGGCTTCTTTTACACTGGCTGTATCTTTTGGCCGCTTCCTCTTCTTTTGACAATGATGTTGGCCACCGTTCTCTTTTTCAGGGTGTCTTAACTTCCCTCTGGCAGCAGGAACAGTCAGTTGCTGTGAAGAAAGTAGCTCTGACACTCTTTTGAGAGAGAGAAAATGAAGCTGACTTACGAAAAGGTAGAAGCATTTAGTATCTTGAGGAGTCTGAGAACCTCATGTTGCTCTCTGAAGTTCAAGGAGGTGGTGGCTGAGATGCAGCACAAACTGTGAAGTTCTGAAAGGAAATGGACTACTTATATTGATAAGGCAGCGAAGTTCTGCAGGGTGGCTTTGACTTGATTGTAGGTTTCCTCCTTTTTGTGGCCAGTGGGTCTCCATGTCTTGTTTTGTTTTGTTTGTTTGTTTTAAACAA